GTTTTTCTCCGGTACCGGGAACCGAACTCATGACCTTGCGCTTGCCAGGCAGGCGCTTTTGCCGCTGAGCTAAATCCCCAGCCCCCCCTTCGTATCTATTCTTATCGAAGCCACCACTCCTGCAAAAGGATTGCAAGCTACACTTCTTGAATGCAATACTAATTAATGGATCCAAACCATGACTAGGGGAACTAGAGGAACCTATTATATGATGGTTCATCACTGCATTTCTGGTGCCTAGGACAGTGGATAGTACGTAGTCAATTAATAATCTTAATTGAAGGGATAAATCAGTGGATTCAAGGTGGTGCATCTCTATACCACTGTTGATTCGATCACTTACTGGATTCATGGTTTCACTCTGCAAAAGCCCCAGATTTCAACTGATTTCCCATTCCAGTTTTATCCTTTGTTCCCTAAGACTGTCATATTTTGTCTGTACTAATGTGTCAGTTAGGCTATTAGTTAGAACGCTGTACCTGTACTTGGTGCCCAGCTCCTACATTGACTTTCTTGTTGTTATTTATTTTTCTGTTTTGTTTTCTCCGTGAAATTTCTGTATTTGGCTGACATAGGCTTTGAGTCTGTTACTCCCTTATTTTTTCTATGATATCTACTTTTAACCCATCAGCAATTAATCCTTTAAAGTTAAACCTATATACATGCTGTGTATACACAGCATATTAGCTCATAGATATAATATGAAAAGTCAAATTGAGAGAGGAAAGTGCAGAGAATGGTGTGTGTTCACCAGGGAGGGACTGTGGATTGACTCGAGTGTGTTTGCCTACCAAGAGTTACGGGAAGAGATTCAACTAGCCGCACAACCCGACAGAAACACCGCTCAGATCTCTGTCTTGCTATTTTCCAGATGTGTATCAGGTGACATCCTGCAAATCAGTCCAGCAGTTCAAAAGGGCCAGCACTATTTATCCTCTCTCAGAAGAGACAAAAACTATCCATGAACCTGGTGAGGATAGGGGATTAAGCTTACATGGAGAAACGGAACAACTTCAGAAAACTCTGCTCTGAATGAAACTAGAAATAGTTGAAATAGTTTCTCTTTTACAAACTGTATATTTGGTTCTTTCCTTTACTGTGCAGTAGAAAGGATTTTTCTCTAAAATACAATCATTTATAAATACCAACAAAACTTGAAAACAAACTAAAATTCCTGTTCCTAACAGGAATTTCTTGAAAATAGGTAAATTCTAAGAAATCAAGCATCCTACTGCTCTAAAAGTTTTCCATTGCTCAAATCCATTAATTAATTTTAACTGCAGAGATTTCTGTATGTACTTGGAAATGACTGTATCTCTCTACATTAAACATCATCACGTTGTAGGCTGGGCCTAGTGGCTCAAGCTGTAATCCCAGCACTTGGGAGGCTGAGACAGGAGGATCATTGCAAATTCAAGACCAGCCTGGCCCACAAAGTGAGCTTAAGGTGGCCTGAACTGCATAGCAAGACCCTGTCTCAAAAAGATACACACCCAAAGAACATCATCACATTGTAATAAAACAAATAATTCTTTAATATTATTAAATTTCCTTTCAATGTCTGCATTTTCAAAATTTTCTTACAAGTACTATATAATTTTATTTATCTGAATTGAAACAAGCTCCATATCTTAAAATTGGATGATATGTCTCTTAAGTCTATTTCAGTCTATCAGCTCTCCTCTCTCTCCATTCCAGTATTTTTTACAGAGAAAAAACAAATTATTTACTTTGTAATATTTTTCTAACTGTTAGGATTTTCCTAACTTCATTGTTCAGTAAACATATTAAATTTAAAGATTCTATTATTTTTAGAAAATAATTATCTGAATCACTGTCAGTATAGGCCATTTAAAAATTATAACTCCCAAAATATGTCCCATATAGTCACTTTAACGAAACATACTTTAAAAATTATTTAATAAAGAATTTCATTACTGGATTAAATATTTTCATGTGGCAAAACATTTAAATGTCCACTAGAATCTTTGTTTTGAACATGCAAATGACAGAATACTATGTGTGTGTCAGTTTTATTCTGTACTCAAAATCTCCTTGCTACCCTGCCTTTGCATGTAAGAGTAGTATTTGAAAGACCAGCATTGGTCCCTGAACCAAAGTACAATTTTAGAGTGATATGGTCCAATTTACTCACAAATATTTGCCTTATCTTGAATGGCTTCTCCACTCTTCTTATCCTATAAATAAGTCTTGGTTATGCCCTTTTCCTTTGAGCATATAAGAACCAAATCTTTCTGCCCTCCTTCTGAAAGTACTCAGACTTTAATGTCTGGTTTGCATATTTAAAGTCAATATTTAATCATACATTTATGTAGTATCTCATCTAGTACTTGGAATTATTGCTCTGATGCTTCACATGTTCCTAGGGGAAGTCCAAATAAAGTCTGCCTAAACTTAGCTTTTGTACATGCATGAATTTACTGGACAATACTGGAGACACTAAAGTTCTTTGTTCATCAAGGGATCAATCTGTGTGGATGAACTAAATTCTGGGCCTGAAAAATCTGATTTCAATTGTTGACTGAATCCACTTGCTTGCCTTTAGCCACACATTAACTGGTGATTTAGGACTGTACATTTTATAAAACTTTTTACTAATAAAAGGGGAATTAACACATACTGTGCATTCCAAGATTAAAGATGGAGTGTTGCTCTGATATTAATTTAAACATCTTCTCATTAAGTTCAGTTAGCTCCTTATGGCAGGATTTTCAGTATCATTATCCTCCTCTGTCTTTCCCAGTAAGTCTGTGCTCCAAGTCAAGACAGATGTTACGCTGTTTTCCAACACTTTATAATGGAAGCACCTTTTCTTTATACCAGAGTTTACAGACTAATTAAGAAAAGCTTCAAATGCATTGCAACTGCTTAATTCTGAAAAGGTTGTCCTTGTTCGCTTTATGTTGTTTTTGCTTCTTCGATTTATACCTCCCACAGCCCAGACCTTTGCTTCCCACTGCCTGTACTTACATTATCAAATGCGCCTTTTGCAGATGTTTGTGAGTGTCCTGTGAGAGAGACAGGGGTGGAATACTGATTAATATCAATTTTTGTAGACAGAAAATACCTCCAGGCTAATTCCACTGCAAAGTGTATGTCCCAGAGTTTTAAATCAAATGAAACAAAAACTTAGCAGGGATTTTGAAGTGTGGTACAGTATTATCGTAGCCGGCACAGAAGCTATGTTCAGACTGAACAACTTATTAGTTGCCTATGCTCAGTATAGTGTCAACTCTACACAAAAAGCTTTATAGAACTCACTGTCAACTTTGTATTGGGACATAGACGGTCAGTATGAAAGCAACCCCCAAAACAGAAACAAAAAGGTGGCAACTGCTGACTGGAGTGAGTTAGAATAATGTAGAATAGCAATTTCGAGTGTGAACTGGACAAAAGAGGCAAGGAGCAGGTGAGCAATTCAGATGCTTGCATATCCCATCCAAGTTTGCAGCAACACAGCCATACGAAAATGGCAGTTACATTCGATCACTAGAAAATCCACCAGATAATCGCAACTTAGTCTTCAAAATTCTGGAAGATCTCAAGTTTATCCAAATAGAAGTGAATGAAACACATCCTGTTAGCTGGCTTGGAGTTCCAATTCACAGTTAGAAGCAATACTCACCCAACAGCCCCCTCTTTGTAGACCTGGTGTGCTGTTCTGGGCTGTCACAATGCCTGAGATTAAGCTTCTTATCTTTTATGACCAATAAAGCCCTGCAACAAGAGATATTAAAATTTCTCACAAAAGAAGCTACACATTGTCCCTTTCTTGTCTCTTGCTAAGGCAATATTTCTCATTCATTCTGTCTAATTTTGTCTTTATTTATCCACTCCAATCTAGAAGAAATAAATCCACTCCAATCTAGAGGAAATTCTTGCTGCTCTATTGTCTACATAATCTTGATCTGTCTTGGATTGAATTAGATTACCAAAAAGGCAGAAGTCTGAAGAACACTACACTTAGTCTGATACCAGGCACAAATAAGTCGTTATAAAACACATTCTATAATGAAAATCAGCCATCAAAACCTTCTGCTAACTTTTTAATGTAAGGCTCACAAACAACATGGAGCATGAATAGTCTGGACCGAGGCATTTGCCAACTTATTTCTGATTAACTTTATGTATTTTCATGAGTGAAAAACCAAGAGACAGGTGGGATACAAAGAAATAAGCAGTTCTTAACAACAAAAATGTTGAAGGAAGGTGATTGTAATCCTAAGGGACACCAAAGTTAACGTCATAGTCCTTATCACTGCTATCATAGTCCAAGTAACATTATCTTTCTCTGAGACCATCATTTAGCTTCCTAGTTGCTCTTCTTGCTTTTCTTCTCCTCTCGTTACCTGTCCAGTCATACTCCTCACTGATAAAATATAAATCAAGCTGATCTTTCCCAGTTATAATCTTCTAAAGCCCCCAAATCCACTCACAATAAAACTTGAACTTCTTAAACTCTTTGGGAGAGGAGACTGCCATTGTCCAAAGAGAGGTGGAAGAAGAAGTAATGGTTAAAGAAGAGAATAATCTATTTATCTATTTTGTCCTTGAAGGAACTTTCTTAGATAAAATGAAATTTGTGAGCCAGAAACAAACTTTGTCTTGTAAGAAATACTATCTAGAATGTTAATAACCTCCACTCTTATCTCTCTTCGCTATCCTACACTTTATCCAGTCCTTGTTTGACCCTCTAGACTCAACTCTGGTCAAGATACAAGTAATTTTTTTGTATTTGATCTTGGAAGATGCATAGCAAAATTATGCACCCCAGTATAATCAGAAAATGGTCATCTGTAAAGATTCCACCTCAGAAAAGACTATATTTCAGCTAGAATGAGGACTTTTAATTCTAACTACTATCAGTGTTTTCAATGCATACATTAAACATATAGTAAAGAAGAAATTCAGCAAATAATTAAATCTTTGACATAAATTAGAGGCATGGGAGCAATTGCAGTTGGAGAGATAGATCAGAGGAATAATTAGAGCTCAGAGTAGGTCAGTTTAGAACTGAAGTAAGTCTACCGAAGGTTAGCTCAGTGTGTATTCCCTAGTTTGATGACCTCAGGAAAAGAGCTCGGATGGTTTTGCCTTTCTTCCTACCATGTGGCTAGAGATTATGATCCCAAATAACTCCACAGGTGCTCCCAGAAGGCTTGATCTTATGTCCCTATTTCTGCCGTTCCCCTAGGATCAACCATAGGAAATGATACACCGTTTTGGAGATAGTTTTCTCCGCGCCCCTGCCTCACCACATACTCCCCTGGTACAGGTAGCCAAAAAGAAGTAAATCCCCCGTCCATTTTGATGATCGCTCTCGGTTGACCCACCACTCAGAACTGGAGGCACACTGCAAGACTATACCCACCTCAGTTGTTGGAACCAGTCAGGTCTTGAGATCCTGCAGCCTCTGCTGCCCCCTGGTGGTACCTACTACACTTACCTTACCCCTCAATGAAGTCATAGTTCAACAAAAATCGAGAACGGCTCACTGCCAATCAACTGCGTCAAAAGTATTGCAAAAAGAGCTGGGGATTTAGCTCAGCGGCAAAAGAGCCTGCCTGGCAAGCGCAAAATCGTGAGTTCGGTTCCCGGTACCGGAGAAAAGCCAAAAAGTATTGCAGAGGCAATTGTGACAAAATGCCGTACGATATGCTTCTTCACTAATATTTTAGCATTCAAGGAAGTTTTCTACTTGAAAAACTTCCATACCTAATCACTTATATATGCGGCTTCCACTTATATTTTGAATAGAAATTCAGAGTAAATAAAGACTGATCTTTTCTAATGCCAGAAGTTTTTTGAAAAAGTGCACAGATAATCAATAGTATAAAGTGAAATTGATTATCTTAAGTTATGGTATATTTTCCCCTTTTCAGAATACTCCTTAATTCTTTACATTCCTTTACTAAAATTCTGGTTTTGGTACTTCTGATCATCCAAAAATAAACACATGAAGGTCTGAACTGAACTTTAAAAAAATGAAATTTTGGCCTGCTTTTATGTGTGTAAGCTTTTCATCTGCCGCTTCTTCCTGTTCACCAAAATGGTCACAAAATGAATCATAAGTAAATTACAAAGTTTTTTCAAGTACTCCAGAAAATTCCTTCTAAATTATTATTCTCTACTTACAAAATTTGAAGACTAGATCATATTTTTCAACTTATCCAATATCTCTTTTCCTTTGGCTCAGAGTCCACTAGAGAATCATTTCTGTCACTGTGTGTTTCATTTAAAGAAACATCTACTAATAAGATCATTTCACTTTGTGGGAAGACATCTGTTTCCAATTCGATTGCTGGAAGCCAGGCAGCATTCTGAAGAACTCCCAACTATCTGACAATCTTCCATCTTTCTTTCCACTGTGCAGAAACAGCTTTGCTAAATGCTCAATTTTTCCAAATGAATTAATAATATCTTTAATTTATGTTTGTGTCTAATCTGATGTTCCCAAAGTGAGATAATTTCTACTTCAAGACGTCCCCACAGCTACTTGGTAGTACAAGGTGTTCTGTATGTTACTTTTATGTGGTTGATATCACTATAAACATAGAAGCCACATTTCAATGTATCTAAATCTGTCTTTCTTTGACGCTCATAAACTGAATATGCACTCAGGGCCATGTGGGTGTTTTTCACTGCAATAAACTGTAGTGAAATCTTGGGAGTTATGATGAATAACCTTGGGCTACAGGGGGTATTTCTGACACATAAATGTCTCTAGGAGATGGAAAACCCAATTTATTTTATTACCTCTCCTGAAAGTTTTAAAAAGTTTTGGGGAATTTAAAACTACTCTTCGTACTTCTTGGAAATCTTGAGATCTGTGACTGCTTCATATTAAAATGTCTAGAACTTGTGCAACATGTAGAGACACTCAGAATAAATTACACAGAGTTGGATGCCAAGAAATAAGCCTGACACTGACGAAGACAAGGAGCAGCTGAGTTTCTGGCTGTCCTGAGGTCAGGGGAGGTTAAGGATCAAGTTCCCCCAGGATCCAATGCATTAACTATTGTGTTTATTTTCTGAATAGGAAGATGAGTGATTTTTTTTATTTGCTTAATGAATGACTTCAGAGCCCCAGTCTACCATTTGCCTGATAAATCTTAAATCATTTTTAAGCCTCTCTTTAACCTGGGTTCTATCATCGGTGATTGAATTTGGTATAACTCAATCAGACTAAACTAGAAAATGGTAGCTCATTTTTCTATCATCCCAACTGGCCTAATGAACAACTTGGTCTCCCATCCAAGTACTAACCAGGTGCGACCTTGCTTAGCTTCCGAGATCAGACGAGATCGGGCCAATGAACAACTTGGTGTCACAGATTTTATGTTTGAAATCCCAGCACCAAAAATGGTGACACAGTGTTAAAATTGTTGGTTGAATAAATATCATAGCACACCGTAAGGACAGAGTCAATTTCTTCTACGTATAAAATTAAAGATTATTTCTAGGAAGTTAGAGCTTTGTTGCAATAAAAGATATGCCTCTTGTTTGCTTTTACAAGTTTAATTCTTGGAGCAATTTTTGTTACCTGTGGATGTGGATGATACACAAAACTAACTTCTGGCAGAAAAGTAAATTAAATAGAATCCAGTAATATTTTTCTTTTAAGATTTGTAACATGTCTAACCTTGAGTAGTAGACTTGGATTTATTATTCAGAATTTATCTCTTTGAATACAATGATGTATACACAGTGAATGTTCGAATATTTATTTTACATTCAAGGTAACGGAAAAGAATATCTTGGCCAGTTCGTTCCTTTACCTCATCTATGGTAAATTCTGTATAACTCCACTGATTCTCTATTAGATAAAACTCCCCAGAATCAAATCTTATAAATGTATGATTGATGGCTACTCTAATATTATTCAGCCTCCAAGATTCCTGTGAGACAGAGTATTAGAATCTAGCATTCAAGTCTCACTCATCTGCCTAGAGGCTCACATTTATCAAAGGAAATAAGGACATAAATTACACTAAAATAAACTGCATGAAAGCACAGCTTTTAAAATCTGACTATTCTACACCAGACCCTGATTCTTATCTTCCTTCCCATTTCTGGAAATTTAAAAGATCTTTCTAAGCCAACATTAGGGGGAAAAAATGAGAATTATAACAGGCAGTGGAAATGTTACAGATAGGGACATATGAGAAAGGGGCTCATAAATATTCATTATAGGGCCTTTTTGCTTGTGTGACCAGAAAAAAATTAACTTCCTACAACAGTGAAAATATCTTGGGGCCACCATGTCATATGTAGGTAGACTTTTGGATAAATTTTCATGTCAGGTAGATGACTCAAATTTGATGGCCATTTCCTGGGTTTCATGAGCTGTAATACTGATAAATGGATTTAATAAATTCTATATGGAGGATTTTATCTGTAATAGCAAAATGCATAGTCTTTTCAGCATGCCACAGAACCTTCTCCAAAATAGACCATATTTTAGATCATAAATCAAGTAGACAAAAAAAATGGAAATATATTACACATTCTACCAGATCAAAATGTAGACTCTAGAAATCAACAGTAACAGAAACTACACAAACACTTGGAGATTGAATAGTACTTTCTTAACTCATGGATGGGCCACTGAAAAAATCATGGAGAAATGTTAAAATTCCTAGAATCAAATGATATTAGGAAGACTGTAAATCAGAACCTGTAGTACAAAATGAAAGTAATCCTATGAG